GATAACTACCTTAGATAATAATTCACTGTCATTTGCATAACAAGCTTGTATTTGATTGCATCTCTGATAACTAGGGCTTTTTTATTATAAAAATTACTGCTTACCTAAATTAACATGATTTAAGGTGCTTTGGATGGTTCTTGTGGCCTAGGACACTCAGATGTACATTAGGTATACACCTGATTTTATATATATATATATATTGTTTTTGCTAACAAGAATTTTTTCGGTACCTTTTTTTCTAGTGTAGTATCTAAAATTTGCTACCTTTTATCTGCAATGTAAAAGTACGAACTTCCTTCTGTACTGAGGGTCTTTAGGACAGGTCTCTGCAAGAGAAGCTCCCTTCCTCTTGGGGATAGTCTGTGGTTATTCAGCTGTTACAGGTAACCAGTCCAACATTTGTGACATTCAGAAGCCTGCTGAGCATTGTAGGCAGTCTTTTTTGACTATCTATATTTGATACATTTATTACTATAAATAACTATTACTGTCCTTTTCCTAATTTTCAGGTGTGACTTTACTATTAATAATTACTTTTGCTTGCAGCCACACTAGGAAGTGTTGGGAAGAATACTGAGTTTAGGATAGGTGGAACGGTTCCCCCACTCCTGTGATAGGCATGTAAAGTTCATCCCAACAAAGATTTCAGTTATTTGATATGTTTTTATAAAGGAAAATAGCGATACGTTTGAGGGTAAAGCTTGGAGTGATTGCTTATGCTGGAAGACAGCGAGACACAAACTTATTTGCAATGTAGTATTAAAATAATGCAGAGGGACGTGGGGGGTTTTAACGTGAAGCCCTTGCTGCGGTGCCTTGTGATCCTCCTTCCCAGGTGGTTCAGGCTGTTCTGGGAGCTCGTAAACAGGGAGGAGGCTGCGGTGGGTGGGTGGTTGTTGCAGCTCCTGCCATGTGACTGCAGCCGGAGCCGGGGCAGGTGCTGAGCGAAGGCTGCGGCACGTTTGGTGGCAGCAGCCTGTGCCATGTGTGCTCATCATCTCTCACAGTTCCCCTGGCCAAGGAGGAAAAACATTTATTGGTTTGTTGTTGTGTTTTTTTTTAATCTATGTTTTTTATTACTGCTAGATTACATTAGTAGTTACAGTGTCGTTTTCCAAACTTCACCGCTAGTGGTGATGATAATGCAAATACTGAATAATTTACTGTTTGCCTTGTGCTGTTGACCAGTACAATGTAAATGCAGTTGCAACACTTGTTTCCTATCAGTTTTGTGTTTAATCTGATCTCACAGTTCTCTCAGTGCCAGTATTTGCAGTGTGGGATGAGCTGCCTTGTGTTAAGATGGTGCCCTCAAGCTCCTTTACTAAAGCAAGAAAATGTATAAATTGATGCCAATGTACTTTCCTATAATTTTTGCACTGTGTGTAGTATGAGGATTATTTTTTTCAAAACTAATAAAGGTTTTTGTGGCATTTTACCTGGACAGGAGGGGAAAGCAGACAGATGCATGTGAGTGCCCCATGGCTGCAGCTGCCTCAGTTCATTCACTTACTGCCAAGTGTAACTTGGAAGCATTCTTTAGGTAAGGAAGTTGCTTCAAAATACGTATTTTATAAACTTAATACACTTCTGTGTTGGATCTTTAAATTGCATCTCAGTGTTTTGTACTTTCAATCATAAGATTATTTATGTATTCTGTTTATATGTGTCCTGAACCTACCTTCTATTTGTTAGACACTGACAGCACTTGTGAAAATGAGTTCTGTGTCCTGCACAGACTCTGCTCCCTTCCCAGGAGAGAGAACACGTGGCACCTGTAGACTGTGCAGTGCAAGGCCACCATAAGTGACAGATTTCTTCAGGTGCCACCCACGAACAGAGTTGCTAATGAATACCAACTTTCTCATGCTAGACAAGCATGACTGTTCAGCTCTTAAATTCCCTGGTGTGTGAGCTGAGCAGCAGCATTCCTTGCACAGGTTGCAGGGCTTGAGTTGGATTTTGCAGAGGAGGTGGGAGCTGCTTCTCCCCGTTCATAAATAACACATGTACTCCAGCAGTGTTACACTTTACAGCTATAAAGCTGATATTAACTGAGTAGTTTTCCATAAGGTGATGATATGATCTGGGAGAATCTTAAAGCCTTGTGTCCCATCTTTTAAAGAAAAATAAAGAAGTTCAGCATTGGAAGGTTTCTAAAGATGTTATTACTGGTTGAACACAATACTTGGTAAACATCTTGCATTTCTAAATCTACTTTTAAAATCTGTCATGATTTAGTGAGGTGTGTGTTGCTGTTCCTGTAGCTTTCCCTTAAAACATCTTCAAATAATGTAAAATGGGGAACTGAATGTGGAGGTTTTGGGTGTATTTTCTTATAGCAGACCAAGATGCTCTTTCATAGTAAGATACAGGGTAGTTTTTCCATATTAGTACATGGGAGGATATTCATATATATGAATCTTTTTTCCAGAAACAGTTTAACTGACCAAAGTAGTTTTTTCACTTTTAAGATTATCATGATGCAGTAAACATACTTTTGGAGTAAGACTGAGTAAAGTTGAAAGCCAAGAGTCTTTACATTTCAAAGTATTAGAAATCATATCTTTAACTCTTCTGATTCATGTGGTTTTGGTATACAGCAAGCTGAAAAAATAAACACTTCTTACCCAGGTTTGTAATTTCTTTAGGTAATATTCAAGAATCCAGAGGTGTATCTGTGTTGCATAAGAGTGCTCATGTGACTAAAATTGTAGTTCAGAACTAGATTTTTGCCAATAATGACACCTTCCCATTAGTTAAATGATATTTTTCAGAAAGTGTTTGGTAAAACTAATCTGCTTGGCACATATTGTTGTTCTGCTTCCACATCTGCCCTGCAGAGCAGTGTGTCCTACTCATCTCTGTTCCAGAATTGATTTTAGTCCTCCCTGGGGGTTTCCCAGACACTGCAGAACAGTTTTAATTTGGTTGATGGCTTCACAGGTCGGTTCATCTTCTGGAACCCGTCCCTGCCTTCTGGTTAAGGACTCCATGCACACACACAGGATGACTCAACAGTGGGATGGATGTTCAGATACCAGAAAGGTGCTGGTAACTTGACAGGAACCTCCACATTCTTTGGGGTATGTGTGCCTGTAAACCTCTCAGTGAATAGTGCCTGGATTGTATCACATGGAACTATAATTTAGTGAACTTCAGTTGTGTTTTCAAATATATACTGCTTATAGTTTCAGTATTCAGAAGGAAACAAGCATTCATATTTCACAGTAAATACTGGGGCTTCATGTTTGGTAAAAAACTTTGATGCATGACCAACAGAACCTTTTTCTGGCTTTGCATCCCACAGCAAGTAAAATGAACTCATTTTGGTAGATTTAAAGGACTGCAGTATAAAATATAAAAAATTCTGGACATAACCAGTTGCTAAAGGATGTAGCAACAAGAACAAGTTCTGGCCATGTTCCATCAGGTCTTCATCCATCTGGAGTGGATGTGCTGCTTGTGGGCTGTAGCCTGACCTGTGGTTTAGGGGAATTCCCTTTCTGGTTGTTCTCAGATGCCAGAACTTCTTTGTGGGAGCCAAATCAGCACCCAAGTTATTTTTTAATAAGATAGCAAAAATTTCCATTTTTATCAGAAACTTATCTTTAACCAAGATGTTGCAGATCTACACGAGAACAGCAGTAGCAAAGAGAAGCTTCTCAGCCAACAGAATTTGTTAAATTTCATTTTTTAATCTGGACTTCAGGTTTAGCAAACAGCTAAATTTATAGTTCCTCTGGAGGAGGGAGGAGGAAAAACAAACAACAGGTATTTGACTCAAAAGGTGTTTAACCTTTGCTAAATTTAGCAAGGCTATGAGCAACTGCAAGAGTTGTGCAATGGTTAATTACTACATCCACACTTAATGCTTTGGAATGCCCATTCATTGTGTGACTTAAAGCACTCAAAAGTCATAAAAGATGGTTGTGTGGATGATAATTTGTTGGTCTAGTAGCAAAATGTTTATTCATGCTGAGATTGTATCTTCATTCCATTAGTAACACTGTTAATGTAAGCCACGTGTCTATTCAGGAAAGAAAACCTGTTGTTTAATATAATTTAAAGAGTATTGGTAGCTTAGCTTCATATATTGCTGATTCCAGTCATTAATGGAACTCTGAGTAGACTGAGTGAAGATTTATAACAACTGCTGAAATAAATTTCTTGGTGGTTGAGATAATTTGTCAGGAGGTTAAACAGTAGTAAAGCTGGTCATGTGAACAGCTCTTAATTAATTGGGTAGGTTGTTCTTTCCCACTTCCCTAAGAATGCACATGCTTTCTTTTCATGCAGGTGTGGGTTGGGTGTCAGACGCCTCATCAGCCAGACAGGTCAGGTTTTATAAGTTGGGGAAAAGGCCAGGGAAGTTTTTGATAGGATAGTATGTATTTTGGCAGCTGTTTCTGCAATACTGGGGACTGGGAGGGGGTGGATTTTTTTTTTCCCCCATAATGAGGATACTATGGAAAATTTTCAGACCAGAAAAAGCATTCTGTGAGAGTTGCCATGGAAGTTTGTTCAGTAAAAAAACTAGATAACGTACTCTGTTTGTTGAAAAACGCATTGGAAAATCCTTCAGACTGGTTGGGAAGAGAGAAGGTCTGGCTGAACATCTGATTAGTGGGACATTTGAGAAGGGGCCTCAACCTGCTGTGAAATGAAGTGGCATTTGAAACAAAGATTGTTGCTGAGAATTGAGTGAATCACAGAATTCAGTCCAGAATGTCTTGGGTAGGTTGTGCTGCTTCAGCCTGGGAAAGCAGAGCTTTTCCTTAGGCTGCTCTTTACTGAGCTCTGGCTCGTGTGGCAGTTGGCCCTCAGTGAAGCAGATCCATGCAGTTTGCTGAATTCCAAGGTCACTGTCCTTTCTCCTGCTGAAAACCAGCACGTGAACTTCACTTACTTTGCCCTGCTTTGATAAGTGACCTCTGAAGTTTTTTGTTGTTAGTTGTACAAACATTTTCCCCCTGCCTGACATGATTTAAAAGAAAAAAAAAAAGGCAAAGGGAAGGTGGGCAAAACTTTTCAATCTGACTCTGACATGCCTGTCCCAGGTTTATCTGTTTAAATAGAGTTTATGAATTAGGTTCTGTAGTTGATAAACTTTTTAGGAATCATTAGTAGATTCCGTAGTTTGGCTGCTGAGTTTAAATTTAAACTGAAACAGCTTTTTACTGCTAAATTAAATTGCTGTTATACTTCTTTTTCCCTACAAAGTGCTTTATGTACTGTGAAGTACTAACACATGAAACTATACCTAGTAAATTAACAAACCCAAGTTCTCCAGATTCAAATCAGGTTGTACAAAATAAAAGGTACTGAGAGAGAAGGTCCTTGCCAACATCTGTGCACTGGATATGGACATATGGACATGCTTCTTTTCAGAGTAACATGCTATATTTAAACTTTATTGCCTTGTTATCTCTTCCTGTGTTTCCACTGCCCTGTCTCCCTTCCTCCCCTAATATCCTGTATTTTTCTAGAGCCCTGCTGTGCGTGAGCCCTTCCAGGAAACTGCCGTTTGAACACATCGGATCGTTACAGCCCCTGAAACTTCCACGATGAAGAGAGCTGGGCAGAGAGTTGTGGTTGGAACTGAAGCTCCTCACACATCACAGACAAGCAAAAAACAGAAAACTAGTTCATATGGCTCAGTGTTTGGTGAATCTGCCCTATGCACCTCGATGGACTGGGGCAGCCTCCCCCACCACGTGATCCTGCGTGTTTTCCAGTTCCTCACTCTGGTGGATCGAGCCAGGGCGTCTTCTGTTTGCCGAAGGTGGAATGAGGTTTTTCACATCCCAGATCTCTGGAGGAGATTTGAATTTGAACTCAGCCAGCCAGCCACTTCTTACTTAAAGTCTACCCACCCAGACCTCATTCAGCAGATTATCAAGAGGCACGCTGATCACCTGCAGTACGTCAGCTTCAAGGTAAGCCTGGAACTGCGTCTGCTCTGTCACCTTACTGTGTGCAGGGCATGCAGCTGCTCTGTGCCAGCTGCATTAAGGGTTGGACCTGGGAAGTCTTGCTCTTGCAGCAATTTATTTCCACATGCACAGGCAGCTTCCTTCAACTTTCCACACTCTGATCTCTACAAAGTAAAGAAAGAGCTGTTGTCATGCAAGGCAGAGGAGAGAAGGTGAGATGAAACAGAGACTTGTCCAAAGTCACTCTTCAGGCTAAGGAATTGAGAACCAGTTCATTATTTAAGATGCAAAGATGTTGTCCATGCAGATAAAATGGATTAAATCTAGACTTTGCCAAGTCTTTTTTGGGCTCCAAGAGTTGGCATTTAAAAAAAATACGTATCACTGCCTGTTGTAGCACCAGTACTGTTACAGGACTGTAATAACATGAGGTTATTTGAAGAGAAGGCTCAGATTTAAGGTCTCTGTTCATACTAGAAATGCCCAGCAGTCATACTCAGGAAAATTTTCCTGAACTTTCCTGGACTTGTTCTTATCTTGAAATTTCTGATTAATGCTGCACTTTGTCCCTGTGGTAATTGCAGGCTGGAGCAGCACAGCTGACCAGGTGTGGAACTTGCAGTCTTGGGTATCCATGGTGCTGTTTTTTCAGTAATACTGAAGAATGACTTCATTATTTTAAAATTGCTTTTACAGGTTGATAGTAGTACTGAGTCAGCAGAAGCAGCTTGTGACATCCTTTCTCAGCTGGTGAATTGTTCAATCAAGACACTGGGTTTAATCTCTACAGCAAAGCCAAGCTTCATGAATGTCTCTAAGGTAATGTTCTACAAACTGTAACGAGGTACTTTGGGCTCATCACTGTGTCCACTTATCCTTGTTTTATTACAGGGAAACAATAAATCAGAGTGGATGAGTTAATTACTGAGTGTAAAGTTGACTTCTGTCATGTGCAGCAGCGTGTTTTTAAACAAAGATCCCCTATGTTCATGTTCAAATAAGCCTTTCTTTGTTGCACAAGAAAGGGAATGACTGAGAAGTGATTATTTTTCTACTTTCTGTGTGTGCAGAATGTGAGGTTGGGAAGCTGAAGTTCTGCCCATCTTTTCATAAGACTTTTTTTCCTTCCTTCCATTTCTCCAAACAGGCTCATTTTGCTTCAGCACTGACAGTAGTTTTTGTAAACTCCAAGTCATTATCATCAATCAAGATAGATGACACACCAGTTGATGATCCTTCCCTGAAGGTTCTTGTTGCTAACAACAGTGACACTCTAAAACTGCTAAAAATGAGCAGCTGTCCTCACGTTTCACCTGCTGGTGAGTAGTGAATATATGTGACAAACGGAGTTGTAAAGTATCAAAACAGTAATGGGAACACACACACAAAATCCCTGATCCATGAATCAACTACTGCTTGGTGGGATAAAGGAGATTAAAGCAGTGTCAGTAATGGCTTTGCAAGGTGCTCTGAGTGTGTACAAATTGCACAAACTAGTGGTGAAGACTGGGAGTGTTTTCAGTTTCTGTAGGGCCCTCGTGTGTCTGGATCTGGATCTGAACTCACTGATTGGTGAAGGGCTCACTGCCTTTGGAATACTCCCTTGCTAGAAAGTTCAGAGGGCTTTTGAGTCCCACTTTCCTTTCTCCTGAAGCCTTAATGCTAGGGGAAGGGAATCTGGGACTGGTCTATCTCCTGTATTCTTTTCTGGAGTCCACAAAAGGTGATTTAATCTGTGTACTTTGTATTCCAGCAGATGAAGAGCAGTTATGTTGTTTATGTCTTAATTCTCAAAAGGTTCTGTTTTAACTGTTAAACAAGGTTGCTGGTGGTGATTTAAACAGTGTAGATGTAAGTTGAAGGAAGAAGGGAATAGTGTCTACTTCAGCTGCATCTGACCTAATTTCAGTTGCTACTTCAAAGCTGCATAGGGAAGGGCAAAGAGGAAGATAAGCAGATCCAATATGAGTATGACTAGTTAGACTTGGGTCTTTTACTCATAAATGTTGATGGCCAGAACTCTGTAAAATGCTGTGGATATCTAGAACTTCAGTATTTCTGGGCTTTTGGATATAAGCATGAAAACTCAAGCCAATAGAATTAGTACTTGCTTGAACTTTACAGTGAACAACTGTGCTTATATTTGCTTTTCATTTTACAGAGTTAATTTTTCTCGTTCCTCAGGCATTCTTTGTGTCGCTGATCAGTGCCACGGACTTAAGGAGCTGGCTTTGAACTACTACATCTTAAGTGATGAGCTTCTGCTGGCTCTGTCGAGCGAGAAGCACGTCGACCTCGAGCACCTTCGCATCGACGTCGTGAGCGAGAACCCCGGGCAGGTGGAATTCCACACCATCAAAAAGCAAAGCTGGGACGCTCTGGTCAAGCACTCCCCCAAAGTGAACATCGTGATGTACTTCTTCCTCTACGAGGACGAGTTTGACGTGTTCTTCCGGGAGGAGACGCCGGTCACACACCTGTACTTCGGGCGCGCCGTCAGCAAAGCGCTGCTGGGCCGCATCGGCATCAACTGCCCGCGGCTCATCGAGCTGGTCGTGTGCGCCAACGGGCTGCAGCCCCTGGATGCTGAGCTCATCCAGATCGCCCAGCGCTGCAAGAACCTCACGGCCATGGGCCTGGGGGAGTGCGAGGTGACCTGCAGGGGCTTCGTGGAGTTTGTGAAGGTGTGTGGGGGCAGGCTCACCCAGCTGTCCATCATGGAGGAGGTGCTGATCCCAGACAGCGATTACAGCTTGGACCGGCTGCATTTGGAGGTCTCCAAGCACCTCGGCAGGATGTGGTTTCCTGATATGATGCCAACGTGGTAAATTCTCTCTCCGTTTGTGGATAAAGGGGTGAAATCAGGGTGTTGCTTTCTATGCAAATAAGGAATTTCAAAAGGAAATGTGAAAACTTACTTCCAGATTTGAGTTTTTCTACCTTGAGAACCTCTGGTAGACTAACAGCAAAACACTCTAGAATATTAATTGTATATTGAAATAGAAGATAGATTAAAGTGTACTTAACAGTTCTGTGGTTTACAGGTGCTTCAAACTTCAGTGAACTTGGGCTTCTCTGAACTTCAGTTTGAATGTTCTGTTCACTTTAAAGTAGTTTTTTTCATGTCTTTGTTTAATCTTTCTGATATAGTCAGAAGAGGAATAGGGTAACTTTTTTCCTTTAGGAAATCAATCTTTATGGAAAGCTGTATACAACTTGGAGTACAGTATTATTTGTCATGATGTTTTATATAGCTTTTTTATAAATATTCATGTTTTAATTGTAAAAGCTTGTACATTAAAATACACTAGCCCAGGTTAATCAGATGTAATCTAGTTTAAACTCATGGTATTATATTAAAATTTTAATAAGCTGAAACTGTAAAGTTTTTTTGTAAGCATTAAATTGCACTTTAAATAATTCTGTCACAGTAGTGAAGCTGTTGAGACTGCATTGTACAGTATGTTGGTTTTGTCCTATGCATTAAAAGGGTGAGAAAGAGACTTTGTTAAAATTAATGAATGTAAAAGTTTGTAGCTGGATTGACTGCTTGAGTGAGTAATAAGGCACTTTGGAAACTGTTGGGATATAAGAAATAGCTTTGGATTTGGTCTTTCAGACTGTCTGGAATGCTGTTCCATGCTTTCATAATTGAGAGATAAGAAGGATTTCATAAATGTGGCTGGTGAGAAGGAAGGAACAAATGGAATAGAGTTGTCTTTGATCCCTCTCTGTGTGGAATCCAGGATTTAGAGCACTTAAATTACTTGTCACTGACAGGCCAGGATGGCCTGTAGTGATCTTGGCTGTGCTGTAAGCCTTGATTTCTAGAGAAAGGATTGCTGGAGGTGATCCTGAAATGTTTAATTCAGGACTGTTTAATACTTGTTGCTACTAACTGTTTTTTAAGAAAGAAGATTTTAATATATTTATTTTCTTAAAAGGGGAGAGGCATGGTGAGTTGATGTAAATTAGAGTCTGTATTTTTGTGTTGACATTTTGCTCACTGTAAACTAAAACTCATTGTATATAAATTTTGCTGTAATCACTTTCATGCTGTACCTGGTCTGTCTTCCTGTTGATAATGAGAATTCTACATTAATTAGCTGGTGGTGTTTGTCACTGTCATGGTTTAACCCTGGCTGGCAGCTCAGCCCCACACACCCAGTGGGGTGGGGAAGAGACTGGAAAGGGTAAAAGTGAGAACTTGTGGGTGGATATGAAGACATGAGGGGGTAGCTAGTTTGCATTTTAGCTGATTTTTCAGGCTCTTTTTAGAAAGCTTATAACTAATCATTGCTAATTCCCCAATTCCCTCCAACAAAAACTCAAATCTTTTTCCCTTGTGTGAGCCTCCACTAGAGACACTGCTTGTGTAACTCACAACGTAATGAATCAGTATTAGCATAGACTTTTTCATGAGGAGAAAAAACAACTGTTGGATGCTGAGATGAATTTATTTAGAATTTGCTGCATTTCCATTTCACTCTCTTCGCCCTTTCCCCCTTTCGAGATTGCTTGTAGGATCCGAGTGATCGCAGTTCTCAATGTGGATGTGAGAGGTGATGCCAGGAAATACTCTTTGCATTGGCAGCATTTTCCCAAGGACTTGTCCCTTGGAAATTGCACCGTTGTATCTTATGGGATGGATGCAGAGTAGTTTTACACAGAACCCTGGTGGAAGAAAGGAGGGAAAACGTCAGATGACTGATGAAGCGTTTGTTTTTCTGTACTAACTCTGTTTCAGAAATATTAACAATTTCCGTCTTAGCCTTTCCACTGAGATAGCAATAGTGAAAATACCAAAATAGCAAAGGCATTATGGTCATAAAAAATAAGTAGTGGTTGAAGTCATTGACTTGGTGGAAGAGGGAAGATGGAAGGCAGGGAAAAGGTGGGAATTGCTGCTTTAGTAAAGGGTAGGGCTCAAAGACACTCTAGCGTTGTAGCAGGAGCAAAAAGTTCTGTGAGTAGGTGGATAGAAGAAGACATTTACCTTGCTGAAGTGCTTGGTAGCTGCAAGGTCACACATCCTGTGTGACCTCAGAGACATTAAATGAAGAGTGGCCGTTTACCTGAGCCTTGGATTTGGACTCCGTCATCGATGGCGTTTCCGTTGTGGAAGAATTTGACAGGCCCGGAGAGCTGCCCGGAGAAGGGAGCGTACACGGTGGCCCCGTCAGCACAGATCACATCCACTGCCCTGTGCTTCCCTTTGCCATTGCGCCTGGAAACAGGGATGGGATTAGAGACATCTCTTGTTAGAGAGGGAGAGCAGGCAGCACGGGGTGATCCCTGGAAATGGGTTGTTAGGATGGAAATAGTGTCAGACTGGCTGAAGGATCCGTAAAGGATTTTTGGTGGTTTAATAGGGTGGGTGACCTGTTAGGGCTGGAGAAAAAGCCTTTCTTCCAAGTCTTAAATAGAACTGTGGAGTCACAGAAAGTTTGGTTGTGTGAAGGACATCAAGTCAGGACTGTTCCCAACACCAGGTCAGGCACAGCTTAGTCGGAGCGATAAAAACCTCCAAGCAGAGAAGTGTTATCAACAATGTGTGCGGCCTAAAAGTTTGCTCATGTCCAACCCAAACCTTCAAAGCTGTGATTCTTAAGTGACTTAAACAGCGTTCAACTCTTATTTCAGTGGAGGAACAACACAACCCCACGTGTTCCCATGGCACGGTTACCTCGGAGCTCCGTAGTATCCGCAGCCGTACTTATCACAGCCCCTTATCTCGTTGGTGGGATTCCCAGCACACACCGTGGCCCAGCCGCTGTCTCGTTGTGGCAGTGGTGGGACATCTTTGAAACACAGAAACACAGCACATCAAAGTTAGCTTTCTGATTGTTTTAAGCCTGGCATGTTTGTGACTGCTGTGTTTTAATGCAGTTGGGTAAGAACATGTTGGAATTACATCCCATGTGGGCAGTCAGATTTCCCTCCACAGGATTTGTCATCTTTACAGGAAATGTAAGTAGAATGTACAACTAAGCTGGATAGTAATATCTCAGACATGCTTTAGAGACAAAAATTCAAAGAGAGAATCACAGGTCCTTGAGTGCAACTCTACTCCTGTTCTGGGCTGCTTTTTTCATTTTTGGGGGTTTTTTTACCGGGCGTAAGCAGGTGGGTAGGATCGGAGTGGTCGCAGTTCTCGACGTGGATATGAGAAATAATGCCAGGAAACACTTTCTGCATGGGCAGCATTCTCCCAAGCTGTTGCCCCCTGCGGATTTGGCCATGGTACCGGATGGGGTGAATGCAGACGAGCTTCACGCAGTAACCTGGAGGAGACGGGAGAGGAAGGGAGGTCAGGAAACATCAGCTGCCTCTGCTCCTTGGGAAAGCAAGAAGCATTCCCTGCCAGCCTCTTACTGGAGACTGTAAGGATGAAGCAGAAATGTCATCAAGGTACCAGCAACCGTGAAATCAAAATTACTGGATTTGCTGTGGAAAAGAGGAAAAAAGGGAGCTGGAAAACAGGGACAGGAAAACATCCTCTCAGCAAAGCTGAGGGTGTACTTCCGATGCTTTATTTTTACTGTTTCCTTTTTGTTATTATTATTTGGGGTTGTTGTTTTCCTGCTACATGTTTTCGAACTCCTTTCTTCCCTCCTCTCTGGGAAAAGCATAGGAAAGGACTGCATCCTGCTGATGTGCTGCCTTCCAAAATTTCAGCGTGCTAGAGAGGGTGTGACACTACTCAGCACTGTGCTTGAACTGAAGGAATCTTACTCAAGGAAATGGAGTGATTACTTTGATTACTTGTGTGCAAGCCTCACAGCATACCTGGTGTTCATTACTTGCCTGATCCGCTGATTTGGACTCCATCATCGATGGCATTCCCATTATGGAAGAACCGGATGGGTCCGGAGAGCTGCCCGCTGAACGGAGCGTACACGGTGGCTCCATCCCGGCAGATGACATCCACCCCCCCGTGCTTTCCTTTGCCACTGTCCCTGGAAGCACAAATCCATCCTTAGAGTCATCTGTCAGCTATAATGTTGTGTATCAATATCAGATACACATCTATCAGGGTTAATGCTATGTATCAATATCAGACACACATCTATCAGGGTTAGTGTTATGTATCAATATCAGATACACATCTGTCAGGGTTTACCTTGTGTAACCTTATCAGATAACTGAAGCTTGTCTAACAAAATTTTTGTACCTGCAATCAAATTAGAAAACAGCAGCTTTGGTCCATTTTTTTTTTTTTTTAAATTGCAAAATGTTCACGTTCCTCTGGTCTTCTTTAAATATCAAATTTAAGCTTATTTTTAATTTTCCCAAGTTCACGGGGTATTTCAGGGTGTTATAGTGAAGTAGCCTTGTTCTACCCCAAAATACATCTGTGCCCATGTGAAATGGAATCTTATGTTTGGCATTTTCTCATTTAGAAGTTTGGAAGTGACATGATGAGGATGAAAACTTCTTACAGAGCCTGGGGAGAGGAGACAGCAGGAAAATACAGGGAAAGCAGAAGACTTATAAATACTTATAAAAGCATTTTTCAGGGGCATATAACTTGCTGTGTTGTCAGGTCTCTCTTTAATGACAACGGTGCTGACAGACTTTTAGTTTGTGTGAATGAAACTACTGGGCTGCTGCTGAATGTTAGTTAAATATCTTGTTAAATAACAAGGATGACACAAATCCTTGAAATACTTTCCTTTCCTTTGGCTGTGTGTCATGTAATGGTCTCCCTGCTTCACCCCTGCATCAGTTGCCAGCAGTGGTACCACTGCACTTCTGAGAGATTGCTGAGGAATATCCCAAAAACGGGTAAGAGGTCCTGCCAACAAGAGTCTTCCCTCATTCTAAGTGTCATCTCTATTTAACTGTACTCTCTCCTGCCTGAAAATTTCCTTTAGGAAAGCAGCAGTGAACCCCAGAGTCCCAGTGCCCACCGTGTTACCTGTCAGCGCCGAAATTCCCGCAGCTGTATCTGTCGCAGCCCCGGATTCGGTTGGTGGGATTCCCGCTGCAGATCGGGGCCCAGTGTCTGTGCTGCTGTTGGGGTGGGTGTCCATCCAGCTGCTTGGCAAAAACTTCACGTGGAAAAGAGAAAAAAAAGCAGGGAAAATTCAACCATCTTCTGCCCA